TCCAAGGAAATGTAGGGGGGGATTTTCAGAAGAGGCAAGTTCTACTGGCCAGGCTTAGTGGAAACACTGCTATCTACTGCATGCCTAGCAGAAACTATCAATCAGGCCATCTACATCCCAAGAGAAATGGGCTTAGGGTTCACCTCAATATGGTTTGGTGCCCCTCCACTGGTGCCAGGAGAGCATCTGTAATCTCTCTTGAAGTCAATCCAAATACAGCTGGACAGAAAAAGGAAGACAAAGTGCCACACCAGCAATACAGCAGAAGAGTTGCTTAAACTACAGTTTAAGCAGCAGCAGTTTTCCTACACCCCTCATGGGCTGTTATGCTTCTCTCTAGCCTTTGCACAGTTTAGCAGATCTTTTGCAACGGTAAGTCTGGAGTTACAAAAACGTACTTTGAATCCCACTTGCGCATTCTTCTATGCCCCAACAGCACATTCAAATGACTCTTGCAGTGTATTTTGAACAAGTTGCACACAGAACATCCAATATAGGATTTCCTCTTTCTCCTGCCCATCCCCTTCCTGTGTGTCTACCAAAAACTTTCACTTCCTCAGTGACACTGACACCAGCTCTGGCAACCACTTAACTCCAGTTCTCCAGCTCTTTTCCAGTCATACCTGAATCACAGCTACCCCAGGGCATTTAGCACTTACTGAAGGGCTTTAAAAATCCCATCAAAACACCTGGTAAGGCTGGGGCTGCCCTGGAGAAAACCATTTTGTCTCCACTACATCTACTGAATGTAAGCCTCACAATGCTAGCAAGGGATACTCAAGCAAGCAATTTTAATAAATTAAATAGATGTGGCACCATCCAGATCTTTCCCTGCTCAGTTGATATTACCAGGAAATATTTTCTTGGTCTGAATAGAGTAAAACCTAGTCATAAGTCAGGTCTACTGATTTATAAATGTGTTATCATTACACAGGAATTCACTGAGACATATTCTTCAACTTTTGATATTATTTTTGTTCTAAGCCCCTAGTACAGTCATATGTGGAAAGAACAAACCTGCTTAGCAGACAAATATACTTCTGCGCTAACGTTAGCCTGAGATAAAACCCGAGTAATTAATAAAAAAAGATCATTAAACAGATTTGTGTTCATCTATATACAAACTAATGAAGGAAACATGAAAGCCAAAGCAATGTATTGTAGATGCCACATCAGAAAGCTGACTTAACAGATTGTTTTTGTTGATGAACTTCCTGAAACAGCTTTCTGTTAAACGAACAAAGGAGTAGTTAAAAAAACATCTCAGAGGGAATCCATTCCCTCCAAACTTTTATCATTTCCATACCTAGAGCAGCCCGCTAAAACAGAGAAAACCGCAAAAAGTGCCATTCCAGAAGAGTAGCTGCACCCCATACTTCAGCCCCTGTGGTGAGCTATCACATTTTCTAGTCTGAGATTGCACTATTTCCTATCACAGCTGGCCTTTGCAAATTAAAGTAGCAAATTCTACAACATATCAACCACAGGAAAAAGTAGTCTCATGCCTCGTGCAGTAGAGACCATAGAGCAAGAAGGACACTTTGTTCAGACTGTTTATCATTTGAGTCCTTTGAACTGAAGAAGTAAGATAGTACACTGTGCAAACACAGGAACCAATTGTAGATACTTAAGATGCCAGCAGTTTGAAAAAGATAGGCAATGCTGACCTAAGGGAGAGCAATTGCTGGCTTGAATGGTACTAGTCTACCCTTTTTTTCCCCTCAGAGAAATGAGATCTAACCATTACCCCCTCCACCCTTCCCTGGTCTCGTTCTTCTCTCCCAGCAAAGTGTTACTGCCAAAATACCCTCTCTCTTCTGATGTTTGGCTGACAAAAATAACTGATCTATTTACCTCTATGAGTATTTCTTTAGGGTGTACAACAAATACAAGTATCTCATAAATATTTGGAGGAAATGCTTCCAGGACAAGAATAATTCCGCCTTTGCGTTTTGTTCCATGAACCCAAATTTTTCAGGAAAGATGCTGAACACAAATGTGAGTGATTCAGTCTCGGAAATTACAGCATTTAATGACAATGTCAACAGGAAGCGTATTTGAATCAGGCAAAAATAAATATGAAAGCACAGACCTTTTCATCCTTCCCTGAAGGACAATGAAGTTCAAACTAGGACCAGTCACACTAAGGACAGTTACACTGCATTTGTCTTTTATTAGTAGATGCTAACTTCTTTGAGAATGTATCATTACTGTTTACAGGGCAGCAGTCTCCTTCTCCCTGTATGCGTCACTAAAGACTGTTCTCATACGAATGTAATTTTACATTTTTTATCTCCATAGTTTCCTGTGGTATGGCTTAGCAAGTCTCTAAGCCTTTCTCTCTATACCATCTGTATCACTCCTATCAAATAGGGGGCAGAAATAAATGGAAAAAATAGAAAGTAGGAATATGGTCAGCAGGAGAAAAATACTAATTGCCAGCTGGGCAAGTGGTTCTTCTATAGGATACAGCTGTTCTTCTTAGTGATGGAAATCCTAAAGGGGTAAAATTTTAATAAATACTACTCAACAGAGTCACGTGGTTTGATGTAATTATTTACGCTCTCAGCTCCATAGCTTCAAAAGGAAGTATCACCCCCTGCATACAAAGCTCACACAACCCTCAGGATCCCCGGCCCACGGATTCTCCTCCCATCCCTTGCATTAGCACATGACAGTTCACATCCTTCAGGGATCACTGTTGCTGCAGACCTACACCTCTGTGTACAGCCATGCTACTTCAGCAGAGTGCTAGAAATCCTAGTCTACACCTAACAGCCACCCCATGCCTTTATTTATTTATTTATTTATTTATTTATTTATTTATGCATTCATTCATTCCCTACCTACTTGTCTTTTGAGTTCATTTAGTTTTGCAAAGGGCTCCCGAAACTCCAAGAGTTAAGAAATAAAGTCTCTCAGTCCCTCAGAATATTCACATATGGAAAGGAGGAGAGATCTCATCCCCTCCCCTGATCACCTAGGCCTTTGACAAAAATAAAAATTGGTTCATGGTCAACATGTGTTCATCCCAAAACCTCAAAGATTCCCATTAAGATTCCAAGTAATGTATAGGCAGACAAACATCTCCTTTTCGTGAGAGAAATAGAATCACATCTGAGATTAAAGAAAGCAGTTCCTAAACTTTCCCAAATAACTACATGGAGGTCAAATGTTGCTCCCTGATGTGCACCACAAGAAGGGCCAGATGTAACGTCTCTGGTCTTTTGAGACACCCCACTGAAGATCAGGTACTAAGTTGATCTTAAAGTCCAAGTCCAGGAGGACTTTGGACTTTTTTTCATTGCCTGTTTTAGGAATTGCTTCCTGCAACACTTGCTGTTCTATGATGTCATTAAGCCTACAGGAGTCAGTAAAGCCATAGGAAAATAGATTACTTCAAGTATACAGATAAATTGGAAGGGGAATTGGAAAGAATACAGAATATTTTGTTTGTTACTTGTACATTCATATATACTTCTATATTCATAAATACATGAAAGGAATAATTTCACATTTATAGAAACTCTCTTGAAAGGGTAACATTAAAACCCAGAATATTAAACATCTTAAAGGCAATGAGGTTTAACTTTGCATTAGAAAGTTTCACAATTCACTGCCTTGTCAGAAAGAGTCATTGCACAACTCCACTGGTCAAGGGACTTACAAGAAAAGGCCTAAACTTTACCTTGTCCTCCGTATATTTATTTAGGAAAAAACCCTTATTTCCTCAAAAATAGAGAAAAGACGAGCTTCAAATCTGCCATCTACTGTACAAAGATGATCATTCTATATCACAATGGCTAAAAAAAAAATATATCTCAACAACACATAATTAAAATAGATCTTTATGTTGTTAAATCAAGAATTCTTTTCTAACGAGTCTGTAGCTCACAAAGCTGAAATGGAGAAAGAAAAATGCTCTAAATCTCAGAAGAGATCCACAGAACAAGACATCTGTTGATCTTAAGAGTTCATTAATTTCAATCATTGCCCAAGATTTCGTAACATCCTATTAACACTATCTAACTGATTTTTAGCCTGTTGCTACTTCTTCAGATAAAACTAATTTTTTTTTTCATCCAGACTTTGAGTGTTGTTGATAGTACCTATTAAAAAGATACAAAGTCTTGACACATAAAAGATATCTACTCTGCCCTCAGTGCTAGGTGGGAAACAATTCACACAAACACAATTTGACTATCCTTTTGGTAAAACTGAGCTACATTTTCCCAACATAGCTTTACAATTTCCCAATGCAAATCTTCCGCTTTTTGTTTTAATAACTCTACAGTGATATTATGATGAGTGCAGACTTATTGACGTGGCACTTGTACTTTACACATACTTGCAACTAACATTAATATTTCTAAATTACAAAAGTATTACAGTAACTTTGTGGGATCAAGCTAAAAAATGTAATTTCCAATTTGTATTACAATGTGCTAAAATACATTAAGATTGGTCAGACTGTTTCTCTTTTTTCAAAGGTGGAACTAAAGGCAGGAGATGGTATATTGATCAGGGGTTTCAGATGAAACCAGCTTTGTGCTCCCTATGTATATCCACGGGAATACGATCTGGTTTTAAGTATTTAAGCAAGTTCTACGTGTTAATCCCTTTGGTCTTTAGTGCCAACAGAAGGGAGCAGGGCAGCAGGACGAGTTCTTGCTAAGGCATTCACTGCAAACGTTAGAAAGATGCAATTTCAACAGAAACTCTTTACTGCTTTACCGAAGTTACAACTTCAGCTCCTAAACTAACATTACTAGGAGAAAACCCCTCTAGATCATTCCTTAGGCATACAGTACCATTACAACAGTAATCTGCAAGAAACACCATGCACCAAACATCACAATACCATTTTCTCATCTGTCCCGTAATTCGAAGCACATTTGAACGTACAGTTAAGAGGGAGCAGCTTTAGCTTGGAAGACACACCAGTAATTACTCTCCTAGAAAAAAGCAGTGTAACAAGGAATACCCAGGAGCCACCTCACCTCAGCCAAAGCTATCGCTTTGGCTTGAAACGCCGACTGCAGACTATGATCAGTTAATTTCACACGCTTCCCAGCATGAAACAGCCCGAAAACACCCGTGCCCTCCAGACCACAGCAGAAGACAGCCAAAGGGGGTACGAGATAGACCATGCTCCTGAGAATTATTATTTTATCCCAAACACAGCATTTCCCTCAAGACCCCATCCAGTCCTACCGGGAAGGTCGGGCGGCAGCGGCACCTCCTCGCGGGGACAGGAGCGAGGGTAACCCTCCCTGAAATTGCCTGGTACTCCCGTCCCGTGCCGGGGCGGGGGCACGGACGGAGGCAGCGGGGCGGGCACCCCCCGCTCCTGCCTGCAGCACCCCGCGGGTGAGGCGGGGAGAGCCGGCACCGCTGCCCCTCGCCGCTCCCGGGGGAAGGCACTTACTTTTTTTTTCCCGGGTGCGCAAGTTGAGCGGCAGCGAGGGAGCTCCGCGGTGAGCGCCGGGGCGCGGAGCGGGGGGTCCCGGGCGCTGCTCTGGGTGTGCGGGCGGGGCGGGGCGCGGCGCTGCTGCCCCGCCGGCCGGCAGAGAGGAACGGCCGGGCAGGAGCCTGGCCCGGACCGCGGTTGGCTCACGGCCCGCCGGGTGACTTCCTGCTGCTGCCGCCGCACATTTGCATGCGGGGCTGCGAGGGGAGAGCGCGGAGAGGGGCAGAGCAGGAGGCGGCCCCGGCCCACGCTCGGCGGCTCCAGGCGGGGAGGCAGGCGCGGCTCCTCCGGCTGGAGCAGGGAGCGCCGCGCTGAGCGGGGCTGTGATGGGGACGAGGTGGGGCAGGGGATGCGGGATCTGCCCCCACTGCGCCTCTGTGCCCCAGAGCGAACTTCGTGAGGGAAGCGATCCTCCGCTAAAAATTATAGCTAAATAAAACCGCTTTAGTCTGAGAGGCAAAACAGAAAGGGCTGTCGTGTTCCACCAGCAGCACAAAAAACATATTGAACTCCAAAATCCCACTGCGAGCAGCTTCTAAGGTCCTTTGGAGGCTGGGTTGGAAGCAAAAAAGAAGTAAGCTTATCTTTCAAATTTTCTTTTCTTTTAAGAGTGATTTACTAGCCTGATGAAAAGTGAAATAAAAATTTCACAGGTCATCAAAACAGGAAATATGAATGTGTGGACGCAACAGCCAGAGGATGCAGCTGAAAAGCTTTACAAGAGCTAGAGTCAAGGTGTCATATATGTGCTGTCAGACCACATGGGCAAGTTCAAGTCACGAGATTTCAAAGGCAGAATATAAAAAGAAAAGCATTTAAGCTTTCCATATAAAGTGTTGACAATAGCGGATGCTGTTTGAGGAACAGTCAAGGCAGTACAAAATACAAGATATTCAAAGGTACCTCTGTGTACTTTCCCAAAGTCCACCAATACAGTCTGTGAGTTGAAGTAGACTGGCGAGCTGGTGAGGACTTGTAACGGGGCATACAAATAGCTGAAAATAGCTCAGTGAAGCTCACACCCTGCTGAGTTTAAGAGAAGAACTTGAATCATGTCAATAGGATTTACAGATCTTCGGTGCTGCTGTAAAGGCCTGCCACTCATGGTGATGTGCAATTGGCACAATCCCTTCTCTCCCCCCCCCCCCCCCAGGTTTGATCCTGTAGAAGAGACAGTCTGTAGAAACAGTGAGACCATAATCTGTTGCATTTCTTAATCAGTCCCAGATGTCCCTGGGCACCTCTGAAATGCAGTGGACAATAGTTTCTGGTATTCTTCTAATTGTATCATCAGTTGTTAAAATAGCATCATGTAGATACTCAGTATAAATATTAAAAGGTGAGACAGTAAGGAATTCCTCAATAATTAATAAAAAATTGGTATTAATAAAAAGTTGGTAAATGTTTTCTTCCTTCCCTCGACTTATGTAAAGGTGTGTAATAATAACAACAACAACAAGCAATAAAACAAACCCCCAGCTAAACAAACACCATAGCAACCTTTTTACATATGACAAGTTTATACAAAAGGGAAAGATCTGACTAAATATACATTGTCTTGGGTTTGGAGATTTTTTTTTTTAGGAGATTTGGATTCCAAAAGTTTATATAAAATGAGCTATTTCTGTTTGGAAGTTCACTGTTAGAGCATCATGTTTCCATTTTCTCTATAGGGTAAGTACCTTGATATTGTATCTTTCTTCTTGGAGAAATAGGGTACAGATCCCCCATCTGTCTTGTTCTCCCTCCTTTCCTCCTCATTTCATTATCAAGTATTCCACTAGGTTTAACACTCACCTTCTCCTATCAAAGCGTTAGAGAAAATAAAGTTTAGTTTTATAAGTGCATAATAGACTCTAGACTAGTCTAGTAGAATACACACTTGACTATAATGTGAATAATTTGGAAAAATAAAAGAGGTGCTGAATTGCCCTTAATAGGCTGCTGTGCACTGATAGGTCGAGGAGGCATAGCACAAACTCATCAGTTCTGCCCTGGAAGAAGTAATAGGAAAAAGGGTTAGAGAGGAATAAATACACTGTGCTTCATAAGAAATAAAAACAGAGACAAGTTGTTAGTATAATTTGAAAGAAGTTGTGGTTTTGTGTATCCTTGCTGCCATTGCTTAGAGGAATATGGACAAAATCTACTTTAGAAAGCATAAGCAGAAAAGTAATTCTCTCTCTCATTATATATTGATCAAAAGGGAAAAAGAGCTGATTCTAGCCTCCCTTACATCTGTAGATCAGCTGTTCTTCACATGTTTTAAATGTCTTTGTGTATAGATCAAGAAAGATGGGGGAGGTGGTATAAAATGGGGTAAGAACAGAACTTCAAGCTTGTCACTGAAGTGGAAGTCCTTGTAGGAAGGACTGTGAGTCACGTTAACCAGCCAGTGTTCACACTCAGCAATTGATTTTCCACTTTGGGAAGGTTTGAACCCCAGACAATGTCTCTACTGCTGAATTAAGCAAGGCTGCAAGGCAATTCTCCAGTATGGAGACAAGCTGGCAATGTCCATGTCCATGCTCTTGGCACCCAGAACATGGGGACTACACCAAACTGGCCCATGTGTTCTGGTTTCTGCTGGAATAGAGTTCATTTTCTTCTTATTACCTGGTGCAGTGTGGTGTTTTGGATTTAGGATGAGAATAATGCTGATAACACACTGCAGTTTAGTTGTTGCTCAGTAGAGCTTACCCTAAGTCAAGGACTTTTCAGGTTCCCATGCTCTGCCAACAGGCAGGTGCACAACAAGCAGGGAGGCAGCTGATCTGAACTAGCCAAAGGGATATTCCATACCCCGGAATGTCATGCTCAGTATATAAAGTGGGGGAGAGTTTTCTAGGAAGGGGCTGATAATGGCTCAGGAATGGGCTAGGCATTAAGCATTGGGTGGTGAGCGACTGTATTGGGAAACACTTGTATTTTCTTAGGCTTTATTCCTCTCTCTCTCTCCTTTACATTACAGTTGTTGTTATTATTACTAATAATAATGTTGTTATTATTGTTATCATTATTGCAATTACTCATATTTTATTTTGTTTAAATTATTAAACTGTTCTTTTTTCAAGCCTGGAGTTTTTACTTTTTTTTCTGATTCTCCTCTCCATCCCACTAGGGAGGGACAGTGAGCGAGCAGCTGCGTGGTACTGAGGTAACCCTGTTGCCAGCTAGGGTTAAACACAATACCATGTTTACTTCAAATCATCTCTGGAATTTTTTGAGAGATGTGGCCTAGGCCAGGGATCAGTTCAGCAATCTGTCAGTAGACTCAGAGCCCTGTACATCACCCTGTAGGTTCCAGACCAATCCAACTACATACACCAGTAGGTAGCTGCTGATCACTGTTTGGATTGTGTCCGAGAGCGTGAAGTTCCACACAAATTGTGGGGAACAGTGGCTCTGGGCAGTAGATCAAACTTTGTCATGGACAATGAAAGCAGGCAGCAAACTTCACTGTATATTTTATATAGTCCTTACTCTCCTTGTGGCTGAGTACTCTCTATGGGACACTTAAATGCTTAGCTCAGTTGGTCAGAGCATGTGCTGATACACCAAGGTCGTGGGTTTGATCCCTGGATGGGCCATTCACTTAAGAGTCGGACCCAATGATCCTTGTGGATCCCTCACAACTCAGAGTATAATAGAATTTTAAATAATGTAATGAAAGCAGGAATAGAAAAATAATAGACATCAAAGCATAAGCGGCACAGACAGGATAGTGAATTGAGAGAGACCCCAAGGAACACCTGAGGTGTTCAATGAAAAAAACACAGGGAAAAGTTCACTTTGTACAAAATTAGGTTTACAAGGATTTAAATTCTTCACAGAAGAAGAGGCAAAAACACATGTAAAACAAAAACACTGAGGCGTATATGAGCCAGAGTTTCGGAAACTCATTTTTAATTTGTTAACAGGGTAAAATGTCTTTTCTCTAGAAATTCCAGCATTTGCATGGTCACCATTTGCATTGGTTTGCTTCTTCCTCAAGGCATTCTTGTTAAGTAGTTAAAGTCCAAATTGTCAACCTACTTCATAATAATGTGGCGATTTTAAAACAAGTAGTGAAGAGTGGATTCCAAAAAATGCAATCCAGCTCAGACATTCTTCACCCAATATTGTTACAGAAAAAAACCCAAATCCCCAGAAAATAAAAGCAGTATGTTTTGACATTATTTTTTTTCAGAATTTCCTTTCTTGTTGTAATGTATTCTTATTTCCTACTATTTTAGAGAAAGTCATTTTGACCAATGTAAGAAGAATATTTACAAATTTGATTCTAAGAAATGTGCTCTTTGTGTGATAAAGATAGGTTGCTTTTATTTGCTCAAGGAAAAACAATAAAGGAAATAAATTTTACTTTCAAGTATGAGGCAATAAGTTGCACTTTGATATGTGGATATTCATTAGTTCCTGTTCTTGTTTCCAGATTGGAGCCTGAGAAAACAAGTTTTGCAACGCTTTAAAGAAATGAAAACAAACAAACAAACAAACACATTCTAATTTTCTAATGATAGTTCCATGGTGTTTATTTGAAATGTGTCACACAATAATTTACAATCTTGGCTGATTTTATGACTAAAATTTTGGAAAATATTTAAAAATACTTCGGGGAATAATGCACAGGTCCCTCTACTGACCTGTTTTTCAGACAAACACTACACATACTCAGTGGGCTAAAG